GCTCAAGACCCATAAATACTTCTTTAAAGTTGATGCTAAACTGAACTTGCTTTGTCTCTCCAGCCGAAACATCATCCAGTGCTCCTTAATAGCACTGTTAACCTTAGAGTTGTCATTCACCCATGATACGTCTCTTATCTTCCATATTCAATCAAATTAGGATTTTTCTTAAATGATCTCTTCAGTTTTCTATTGGTCTCTAGTCGTCTTCATCTTTGCCCCCTCCACTATCTTCACAGTGGACTCAGAATAATTTTTAAAGATGCGAATCCGATTCAGCACACTTATTCTAAAAATTTGCGTGCTATTAATCAGGATTTGTATTCGCTGATGTACCTCAGACTTCAGGTGACTGACTGTCCTTCTGCATTTGCAACCCCAGGGAAATGGCCATTTTCTCCAGCCTTATCTGCAATTTATCAAAGTCCGCCTCAGGTTTTTCACACGTGCTATTGCTTTGCTCATATAGAACCTGTACCAGTCTCAAGAGTTTTACATTCAAATTCGCCAAATGGCGGAAGTGGTCTTTTCGGTTGGATAGGTTTGCAGTCTTCCGCCTCAATGACCTTCCTAAACAGAATTCCTGAGATTAAAAAATAACCGAAATCGTATCGGTTCCCACTTCCTGGCGCTTCCTACCACGCCTCGGCAAATAATCAGAGACTAGTCTGAGAGGATAGAAATCCGGTTTAAGCCAGGGATTCCCGCGACTCACTTCCAACGCATACTCTATTTAAATTTTACACCAGGCAATTTAGGGGTCGGGGAAAAAGCTTTTGGGGGAGTGGGAGTCGAACTCATAGGCTCTTGCTCTCTCCATTTCCCGCCACACGCGGGCTCCCGGGTTAGAGAACAACGATCGCCGGCGAGGACGCGAGCAAAGTGCGCGCTCGGAGTAGGGGGAGGGGCCTGGCGCGCGCAGAAACAAGAACCGAGGTGGGTGGGGGCAGGCTCTCTCGCGAGAGTGGGTTTGTTCTTGGTCTGCAGCCGCTGCTGCCACCTCTTACCAGCGCCGTTGCTGCGGGGGATTGTGGGATCCTTCGCGTCCTGTTCGCTAGGAGAGAGGTACCTCTCCTTTTCCCTTTCCCTTTCCTTAAGGTAGGCGTGAAGCGGGTAAGAATCGGGGTGGGGTGGTCGGGGGCTCTCTGCGTCCGCCGGGAGGAGGCAGCGATGGCGACAGGGGCTGTAGGGAGCCGGCGGCGCGCCTTTCTTGCTCGCTCCCGCTCGCCCGCTCTGCCTCCCTCCGCGCTGCGTATGTGAGCCGCCTGATCGGCGGCCGCCATGTTAGGAGCGCAGTGGCGGCGCAGCCAGCCTCCTCGGGCGTTGGAGGTGAGCGGTCCCGGAGGGAGACACTCGGTCAGCCAAGAGCCTGGGGTGCGGCGAGAGAGTCGGGGGGCTCTGAGGGCAGCCGATGAGCCGAGCTTCCCGCGTCCTGGGCTTGCTGCGGGCGGGGGCGGGACGATGAACCCGTTACACGCGAGCTGCCGCGCTGAAAGGGAGGAGCGCCGGAGGCCTGAGGGACCGACTGTCCATAGGGGGCCTGCCGTTTGGGGAGGATAGTTAAGTTAGCGAAGTTCTTGGATAGTGCCAGTCCCACATACTTGTTTGCTTTTTTTTTTTCCCTTTGCGCTTGAAAATGTGCCCTAAAATGGAGGATTTCGCAGACTCAAAAGCTTTGCCGCTTGAGCAGAATTTCTTGGTGTCAAGGCCTTCGCTCTGTTCCTCGCCCATCGCTTCATAGCGCCCCCTAAGACTCCCCCGTCCCCCGCCCACACGCGCGCGCGATTTTAGCCGGACCTCAGAAACAATTCCTCCCCACCCCCCCGTCGCTTAAAAATGGCCGAAAATGAAACGTTAACGCTTGTTTTTCGTATTGCGTCGTGGATAAAGCCTTCTACAGTATGCTGCTAGGCAGGAGATTAGTTTCTGTTTAGAGAATCACCTCACATTCCTTTTCCCTTTATTAAAATATTGTCAGTAGGTTCCTCCAGAGAGGATCGTGTGATGTGGGACCTTCCGGTTTCCAAACAAAGGGTTTGGAGTACCGTGATGTAGTCGCATCGTTGTTCTTTTTATTGCTAGCTCTGTGCCATGTTCTGTGTTACACAGGGACTTTCTCTGCTTACTGTGGAGGAATATCTCGCAGATGTTTATACTGCTCTGTCGCACTATTCTGTATAATATTCCTATTGGATCAGTTAGTTTTCCAGCTAGATATTTCTAGAACGGTTATGGCGTTTCCGAAATTTCTAGTCTTTCAAGCGCGCTGGAATAATGAGAATTGTTGATTTCCCATGTCGTAGTCATGAGATTTTTGTATTGATGTTGCGTTTTGCTTATTGAACAGAGCTTGGTTTAAGATTTTTTAAGTAATAAGACAGTTTTCTCTCAGTTAACAGTTCTCTGCGGGCAAAAATAATATTTTAGGCTTAAATTTTCAAAATAAGATTTCTTTTTAAAAACTCAGTGATTCAGTCATCTACACAGTCAAAATAATTTTTCAGCATTAGAATTTTAGTAATCTAGAAGGCGAGGAAGGACAGGTTTTTGTTGCAAAAACGCTCCGTGGTATGTTTTTGCAAACTTGAAATCAAACACAATTTCCATACTACATTTAAGATTTTTCTGGCTTGTTACGTAAGATTTGGAAAAACGCTCTTTAGCCAGAAGATGTTTGTGTTGAAGTGCTTTATATTTACATTTCTTCCTTTCCATTTAACATTATATGATTATAACAAGTGTATACTCTACCCGGGGGAAGTTTTCAGTTTATCATTACATATTTCCCTTCCCAGCCGTGTAAGCGGTGCTGCTTTTACATAGCATTTTAAACTAATTGGGAAGGATTTAACTACTCTTGATCTGAACGTTGTATATATTAAAGGAGTCTTTAAACGTACTAATTTTTTGAACGCTTTTAGGGAAATGTTAACTAATATTACAAGTCAGTTAATGGTAGGTAACAAATTTTAACAACTGAGGAATGCAAAGAAAATGTCTTACATAATTTTAGAAATAAAATGTAGTTCAAATCTCTATTTTATAGAAGAGAAGATTAAAGCCCAAGGAGGTGATGATTATCTGGTTAACCAGTGGCGTTCTAGAATGCTTACATCTTGATTGGATACTTCATTTAGACTCTTCATTTTTTAATAAATAGACTTAAAAGTGGTAGGACTCTCTTACAAGAATTTATCTTAAGGGAATAGTGTGTTAAAGATTTCTGTGCCAAAAAAATTTGTCTACGTAAATGTTAATCTGGGTTATTAAGCATATTAAAAGTCTAAAAGGTTCAATCAACATTTGGTGGTTCACAAATTTGGTGCGGCCATCAAATGGAAATCTACAGCTTCTTAAAACAGTGTTTTAAGAAGAGAGTAATGATGGGAAAATGACAATAGAATATAGTATTGGAAAGAATGTAAAAAACTGCTGGTGCCAATTTTAATATTTCGTTTAAAGGAACGTGTAAATAAGCATAAAAATAGAAACATACCAAAAAAAGTCTAGATGTTGGAGTTAATGGATTATTTGTATTTCTTTCCTCGTGTTTTTCTGAGATTTCCACAAGAAATTATATTTACTTTTGTAATGGGGAGAGACTTTTTTGTAAATGTTAGGGCCGGTTAAAAAACCAGAATCTCATGCATGTTGTTTTTTTAGAGGAATTGAAGTAGAAGTGAGCTGTTCTTGAGGTCTGAAGTGCAGTTTTTTCCGAAAGTGACAAAAAGTTATCACTTGTTATATGTAGACAAACATAGGGATCTGAACACAGTCTTATGTAAAAATCTTAAGTTTGCCATTATCAAGACTAATGCTAACTAGGTTATTATATGAACTGCAGTCATTAACTATTTCAAGAATAAGCAAAACCAAAGAATTGGATAATGGTTTATTTGATGTTCTTAGCACATCTTTTAGGTAAAAGTACTTTGTTTAAATATACCTATTTTAGTTAGAATTGCATTAAAACTGTCCCACATTTGCTGCAACAGTTCTTAGTGCACTCAACTGACTTAACTTTGGAATAGACAATACCAAGTTCACCGGATGTGGGGTGGAAGGTTTGTAGACAGTAGTTTTGTTTTTATATATGTATATATGTGGTTATTACAATGTCTTCACTGTCAGGGATATAAAACGCTGTAATTTATAATTCTTAGGTATGTAGTGAGCTTATTTGTTAGCTCAATTAAAAATTTAAGAGGCTAAAGTTTAAAAGCTAATTTATATAAAATACTTGCTCTTTTCTAGAAAAATTTTTAAATGACGTATCTTTGACATTGGCCGATCTAGAGTCCTTGTAGCTTATGGTTGTTGGTACATATCTTATGGCAGAATCCCTTTTGGATGTGCTGGATAAGAGCAAAGGGGAAAAACGCCTATGGTAGACGTCATAGGGGGCAAGCAGTAAATGCAGCAAGTTACGAAGTGATTGATATTAGGATCTTAAAAGGATCTTTGATTTGCCGTATCATAGGTTGCTAATGAAGATACAGAACTTTCTGATCTTTTAAGTTTTGTATGTTTTTTTCCCCCATTTGTGGGGATTACTATGCTATTAAACATCTTCATTTGGTATAGTAACTTATAGGAGAACCACCAATACCATATTTGAAATTTGAAAGTGAAGTGGTTGAGCACCTGACTCATGCAGTAATTGAGAACGGAAAAGCAATATAGAAGAAATACAAACATTTGTGCTTAAAATGATCTTGCTGTGAGGTGTGAGACATCAGAACAATTTAATGCTTAACTGTGGACCCTTGTGTGGATGATGGTATTCTGGAAAGGCACCATGGAGGAGGGAGTTTTACACTTAAGCATCAGGAGACACCAAGAAATATTCGTAGCCGCATTCTTGATAACGCAAGAGATTTAAAACAGCCTAAATGTTCATCATATGCAGAATAGATAAGTGTATGTGCCATAATGGTATCTATATTGCAGTTAAAATGTAGGTTTAATTCCTGTATAAATCAGTTTTTTAAAGCAAATAATGATATGTACATATTGTCAATTTGTAAAAAAAATTAGATGTGCAAAATTAATGTGTTTTTGAGGATATGAATAGGTAAAACTTGAAGATAAGGAACTGCAGAAGAGATGCGTTAGAAATTGGTAGGTAGAAAGTATTTAAGGTCTTGTTCTATTTCTAAACTTGAATGTACACACACTGGTTTGTATACATTATATGAAGTGGGGGTGTGCTGGGCCTTAAGAGAAATGCTAGTATTAAATGAAGAGAGGAGAAGAGACATTTCAGCTAATTTGCTCAAGTGCTGAGCAGTCTCAACTTATTATAAAATGATCTCTCTCATAAGGTGTTGGTGTATATTGGAAAGTGGGTTTAGATAAGTAGGATACAACCAACATATGAAAGATATTAAAAACCATAATGTGGACTTTATTTAGTGAGTAGTATGTTTTGGAGCAGTAGAATGTAAGATGGGTGATGTTTTAGGACATCTATATTGGAATCTGCAAACGTGGATGCAAGGAAACCAGCCAAAAGGCTGGAGAACTTAAGATCTCTGGTAAGACTATGGCAGAGGAAATAGAGAGGTAAAGACTTTTTGTTCTGAAGGATAAGAAGGTAACTTAAAGATAGACCAGCAATAGAGAGTGAAGAAAGAAGAGGTTTAATTTGTCCACTTTCACTAAGATCCACTTCTTTTCTTCAATTTTAGTTGTCTAGGTTACTACTAGTCTTTTAAAGCTGACTTCTGGTTTGGTAACAATTTAAATATGAATTCTGGCTTTGAATAGAAGTGGATGGGACATTGAAGTTGATGTATGAAATAAGGGTGTACAGTACAGTGAAAGGTTTATACGCATATGTCTCTGGATCAGTCATTTTATCTCTAAAGTTTGCTTTCTTATTGTGAGGATCAGATTACATAAAAGTAGTTTACTGTTTCTTACCATGTGCTGGACACCAGTCTAAGTGTTTTATGTGTGTCATTTTATTAAGTCTTTACAGCCTCGTGAAATAGGTTTCGCTTTTATTCCCATTTTACATATGAGGAAACAAACAGATGTTAAGTAATTTGCCCAAGGTCCTACAGCTACTGTGTAATAGAAACAGGATACAAGTCAAGGCATTTGGGCTCCAAAAATTTCAGTATATACCAAATCAAAGTTGTATAAGTTTGTGGAAGCCAAGAGTAGAACATAAAATGAGTTGAGGGGGAAATCTTAAGGTGCAGAATGGGGCATTGATAAAAACCACTGCTTTTGCTTCAAAGTAGAGAAAAGAGCAAAGTTAGTATCATAGATTAAAATCAAGAGTCCAAATTGTCGAGTAAATGGAATAAGTTGCTATCCTGTAGTACGGGCTTATCATTCCTGTGCTGCTTTAATTTGAAAAATGTTTAACGTCTAATTGAAAGTAGCCAGGAAAAAAATTTTTTTAAATGCTTACAGCACCTGGTATTCCTGGTCTCCCATCCAAGTACTAACCAGGCCCGACCTTGCTTAGCTTCCGAGAATCAGTAGTTTATTTTCAAAAGCCTTTTAAGCCCCTTATAGGTATGCCAAAGTGAGATGAGATCATGATACTGAAGAATACACATTGAAGTATAAGGATTTTTTTATTTTTAAAAGATTTTTATCAAAATATAGTTAATATACACTATTGTATTAGTTTTTGATATACATCATAATTATTCAACCTTTATATACCTAAGGAAGTGATCACGATAAGTCCAGCGACCATCTGACACTGTACAACACTATCACAATATTATTGACTATATTCCTTATGCTGTACATCACATCCCCATGACTGACTTGTTTCATGCATGGAAATTTCAGCCTCTTGTTCCCCTTTACCTCCCCCGCTCCTTTTGATTTTTTCAATTACAGTTGACATTCAATACTATATTAGTTTCAGGTGTACAGCATAGTGGTTAGACATTTATATAATTTACAAAGTAATCCCCCTGGCTAGTCTAGTACCCACCTGGCACTATACATTGTTATTACCATATTGACTGTATTTCCTATGCTTTACATTCCCATGACTATTTGATAACTACCACTTTGTACTTAATTCCTTCACTTTTTTAAAGTATAAGGTTTCAAAATGGCTCAAGCTCTGTATGAAAAATTGAGTAGTTCCTGAGATATAATCATTTAAAAAAATCAAACCCTTAAATGAAATACAAGTTAAAAAATGTTAAAGTATATAATATATAAATATATAAAAAAATATAAAGCTATGTTGATAAGTTATTTGGAAAACCATTATCAAATTAATAAATGAGAAGTTTTTAAATAGGGACTTATTAACCTAACTTCATACTTTAATTAGAAATGAGTTGGTGCTTAGTTTAAAAGATCTGATCACAGAAGTCAATGCTTTTGTGTGACAATGACAAAAATTAAGGAACTGCCTTTCCAAATGACGACACTTTGAAATTAGTAGTGAGCTATACGTGCCATCTATTGATGTATAATTAGGACATTTTTACTGTGTTGGTATTGTTGGTTGCTACCTTTCACATATTTGGGGAGCTAACAAATCACAAGTTTGACCTTGATAGAACATTTGGAAAATCTGAAAATTTCTTGCCCTGTTTGTTTTTAATTCAGAAGAGAATTTTATAAACTACAGTTTTCTAGCTGTTTGTAAGGTTTTACATTTAGTAGCATTTGCAATTAGATCATAAACCAGCTTTAATTCTAGGTAAATTGTTTAGTAGAATTGTCTGTAAAAATGCCTGTTAAGAATTTGCTTATCAAGTTATAAATGCATTTGTGAAGCCCAATTATGGATAATGTTAGTCGTTCTTTTATTTTTCTGATTGGGGGAGATGGAGGTACTTTTTTGAAAGTGAAAGGTTCTGTGTTGATGGGCATTTAGAATTTGCTACATAAAGATTTTAAGTGGGTAAATTAGATTTTGATGTTACATTTTAGGTTAATGTCAAAGGAACTATTTTCAAATTTTATTAAACCTCTAGTATAATGTATTGCAAAAAAGCAACTTTATAATTATGGAAGTAAAACAAAATAAGCTATTAATCTTTTAAAAATCTAATAATTTAGTAAACGTTTCAGTATTGTGCTTAACTTTAATAGGCAGTAAGTCTCACTTAAATGAGCCTTTTAACAAATGGCTTATTTGTCTTATGTTTACCAATTACCAAAGATACTAAAGGAATTGTATTCATAAATGCTCTTTAAATGGTGGTGTCACGTCAGATTTTTCAATTCATTTTAATTTAAAATTTTTTGTAAGAATTTTGTTTGTATTTCAAAGGTCTGACTTAAGTTCCTATTCAGTAATATTACTCTCAAATTCTTGTGTCGATCTGGCTGCATTTAAGTTGAAACTGAGTCAAGAATATTAAGGTTATTTTTAATTAAATTACAAGTCGTCATGAGATATAAACATTGTCTTGCCCTTTTTCTGAAGTTCATTTTTTGTTTTGTCTTAAGGTTATCATCTTACCTTTACTTCTCTTAACCTTTCTTTTTGCAGATACACCGTTTTCATTGTACCAAAGAAAATAATTGAGATCTCTGCAATGTGATAATCATTTCCTTAAAATATGATCAATAAAGATTTTATACATAATACTGTTGTATAATTTCCCTGAAGAAAAAGAGTAGTTCTTTCAAAAAACTGGTTTTTCAATAATACTGAGCTTTGGCTATTACATGAAGAGCAAAACTGCTATTAATAATAACTTTGGTAGTTTGAAATACTGATTTTGAAAAACCCTCAAAGTTTTTGTCTTTTAAAATATAAAGTATACATGAAAATTTAGAGGGTCCTGCCAGTGTTTATACACAGTATTTCAGCTGCCATTCTGTATAACATTTATAAGATATCAAAGAAACTCATCCAAAGTCCACCTGACTCTTGTCTTTATTTTATTAATCTTAAAGTCTAAGTAGTTTATATAGTGGATGTGATCCAGAACTAGTTTCTTTGGTGTCTTTTCTCAAATTCATCTTTCTTGGTGTGCAAAAACATCTATAATTCCAGTCACCTCTGACGGCATTTCTGTGTCTTTTTAACTTTGTCACATCTTTTTGTAAAATCTAGTCCTGCCTGTGGTTTTTTTTTAATACTTCCTCTGCCACTATATTCGTCCAATGTTCCCTTGCTTTATCCTGTCCTTGGTGGGCTTGGTCCCATAATAGACTTGTGACTATTGAATATTGCCTGGTTTTTACTGTAATAAAGTTTAATGTGTTGAACTATCATCAATGCCTAGGTGTATGTATGGGTGATCAAACGTATAAGACTTAGCAAAGCCTCCAAATAGAATTCTGTAACAAACAATTTAAGACTTCCCTATGTCGTCGTGATTATAAAAAGGTGTTTTCATCAAGGACATTTGTTATGTACATCATTTAATATTTTGTGAGAATCATATGTAAATGCTTTGGAAATTCTTACATAACCATTTCTGAGGTAAAACAACTTGAAAGAAAAAATAATTTCATCTAGAAACACATCTTGGGTAATTGTATTCAAAACCAAAATTTTCCAAGTGATTGTGGCTATTCTTGTGAAAAGTTTACACAAATCTATACAAGATCTCATTTTCATTTTTACCTTACTTGAGTTTTAGAGGTTCTGAAGCCCTGAAATTAGATGAGTGTTGGTGGATGCTAACTTGGGGAGTTTCACTTCTTTAAATCACCTACACTTCCTGTACCTGGGTTTTTTCTTGGGAGGTCTCTTATTTCTATACTGACCATATTTAGTTCTCCTTACTTTATAATACTAGAAATGGAATAAGCACTGCCTGATAGAAGGTGGACAGTAAGAAAGCAGTTAGTTATATGGCTTAAATTTGTGCAGAAATCCTTAAACTGTCAGAAGTCACTTGTTTTTCTTCACATCTGTCTTCACCTTATGATTTTGCTACATAAAGATCTCAGCTATTGTGTTTGGTCTTAGATCTTATAGTAGGTACTTGACACCTAAACTTCATTTGTTATTTTACTTGGTTCTTTCTGATAGTTATAATAGGTCTCATTTTCTAAAGCAGAATACAACTGATTCATCTTTGACTTGCTGACATTGATTTTTTGTTTTGTTTTGTTTTTAGTCTTCTGGAACTTAAGCATCATACTATAGGGTGTATTTTTATTCTTCTGAAAGAAAAGACCCATCTATATTTTTACTGAAATTTTGATGTAATCAGACATCCAACCCTTCAATTGAAATGTTTTTAAATTTAGTATGAAATTCCCTTTAATAGTTAAACTTTAGCATGAAAGACCACTTTTTAAATATCTATATGCAGGCTCTGCATACATCTGGAATCTGTTTAAGATATATAATAAATTCCTTGTAAGTTTGAGATCTTAAATGTTTTTTTTTTTTTTAATCAACATGATGCATAAGTTTTTTTTCTTTAAAAAAACGGCATCTACTTAAAGGGATTTATGACTAAAATTGCTTATTTTTCTACAGAGTTGTCTGCTGGTTCTCAGCTTGAAGAAGATTCTACAGTCCTTATTGATCCTTTTTCTTGGCGTTACCATTTTTTTGAAGCAAAGTTGACCTAGTTTTGTAGTTTGAGCTTTCTTTTTGGCCATCTTTTAAGAAAATTTTTTTGGTAATCTATAAATTAGCCAAGAGATAGTTCTACAATGTCCAAGTCATTCCAGCAGTCATCTCTCGGTAGGGACTCGCAGGGTCATGGGCGTGACCTGTCTTATAGGCCTTCTTGCTGCTGCTACCCAGTCTTTAAGTATGCCAGCATCTCTTGGAAGGATGAACCAGGGTACTGCACGCCTTGCTAGTTTAATGAATCTTGGAATGAGTTCTTCATTGAATCAACAAGGAGCTCATAGTGCACTGTCTTCTGCTAGTACTTCTTCCCATAATTTGCAGTCTATATTTAACATTGGAAGTAGAGGTCCACTCCCTTTGTCTTCTCAACACCGTGGAGATGCAGACCAGGCCAGTAACATTTTGGCCAGCTTTGGTCTGTCTGCTAGAGACTTAGATGAACTGAGTCGTTATCCAGAGGACAAGATTACTCCTGAGAATTTGCCCCAAATCCTTCTACAGCTTAAAAGGAGGAGAACTGAAGAAGGCCCTACATTGAGTTATGGTAGAGATGGCAGATCTGCTACACGGGAGCCACCATACAGAGTACCTAGGGATGATTGGGAAGAAAAAAGGCACTTTAGAAGAGATAGTTTTGATGATCGTGGTCCTAGTCTCAACCCAGTGCTTGATTATGACCATGGAAGTCGTTCTCAAGAATCTGGTTATTATGACAGAATGGATTATGAAGATGACAGATTAAGAGATGGAGAAAGGTGTAGGGATGATTCTTTTTTTGGTGAGACCTCGCATAACTATCATAAATTTGACAGTGAGTATGAGAGAATGGGACGTGGTCCTGGCCCCTTACAAGAGAGATCTCTCTTTGAGAAAAAGAGGGGCGCTCCTCCAAGTAGCAATATTGAAGACTTCCATGGACTCTTACCGAAGGGTTATCCCCATCTGTGCTCTATATGTGATTTGCCAGTTCATTCTAATAAGGTGAGTTAATGCAACAGATGCTTCTAATTTCTTTTACATTGTAGTGTCTATTCTGTATTTACCTATCTTTTACTCTGATTCTGTAGTCTGATGACACTGAGTTGATCAAGAATTTTTATACTTTGAGAACACTTTATTTGGAAGGTAATTGTTTTTTGAGCATTTTAAACCAGGGCTTTACATTAATACAATCTGCCTAGATTGCTTCTGGCCACAAAGCTGTCATCCACTGGGATTTCTTGTTGGTTTTTGGCATCAATATGTTCTTCTTAATCATATTTAAGCAGTTTTTTGTCTGCTTTGTTGAATTAAGCATTTTTTTTATTTTTATTTTTTCAGTCAATGTGCTATTCAGGATGCTAGATTTCAGATCTCCATCTGTCTTGATTGCTGATTTGTATGTAGTAAAGATGGATT